GCTAGCAAGCAGCTAACCATGTCCCTTTAGTGGCTCGTGTTATTTTATTAGAATGCACATTATTTGTTTTCCGTGCCTTTCTGAATACAGACACCAACCGATCCCTCATCAACATAACATTTATTTCCATGATCTGCCATTTTCGCTATTATCTTCGCTTGTTTCTTCACAATACCTGCAGAACTTCTGATGATTCGGCTGTGCATTTTCGGCTGGCGGCTGGCATAGAACATGGGCGGGTGTATGCAAATGTTGGGGGCGTAACTATTAGTGATCCCGACTGTAACATCACAGTCTGTGTTATGTTCTGATTTGCCTGTTTTTCAGTGGTCTTTTGCATTCTCGAGATTTACATAAGAAGGAGGAAACAATGGTGTTTGAGGTTCACGGTATGCCATTTCCATGTACAGAACTGTTATTATTCAACTATGCCAAGGTAAATACAGTTTTCCATTTTATGGCACCTTTAACATATAGTTTACTGAACACTTCACCCATCTACTTATCGGACCAAAAGTAAGTTTATCTATTTGTTGAACCAATAATGTTTTGTCAGGCTGTTTGGGATGCTCAAAGCTGGAGAGAGCTATCCATTAGCATTCCTATTTATTTTAATGGCAGTTGCTTGGCTAATGCAGGCGAACACAATATCTGCCATCGTTGCTCATGTGTTCTCAATTCCACTAGATTGTTTGAGAAAATCACATGAGATGTAAATGTGACTAATGCTAATACTACTCCATGGATGCTGGAAAAACACATCATGATGATGCTAATGACTGTGGTGTGAAAGGCAAAAGTTATTAAGTTAGTTCAAATTGGGGTCGGTAAGATTTTTTACTGTTTTAGAAAGAAGTCTCTCATGCTCACTAAGATTGCATTTATATGATTTAAAATACAATAAAACAGTAAAATTGTGAAATATTTTTACAACTTAAAATAACTGTTTTCTTTTTTTAATATATTTTAAAATGTAATTTCTTCATGTGATGACACTTTTGATCAATTTAATGTGTCCTTGCTAAGTAAAAATTATGAATTTCTTTTAAAAATAAATAGAAAATTTTACTAAGCCCAAATGCAATTAATTTCAAGCATTTTTTTTAGAGCTCGCAAAAAAGAAATGGGTAATGTTGAGGCATAACAAGTTTTCCAATTTACATGATATTTGCAAAAATAACGTTTTCTATCAAAATACACTATCCCTTTTGAATGGCTGTTTATGGAGAAAAAAAAAGCTTTTTGCAGCCAGATGGTCTAGTTACAACTACCAGTATCAGCTAGCAGAACCATGCTAACCAGCTAAACCTTGTCTCTTTGGTTAAATCAGAGCAATGTTTTATACCACCAAAGTGTTTAGACTTATGGTGGAAATCAACCTAAATAGCTTACTTATAATTATCTTTGCATGTTAACCTGGGAAAGGAGTAAGTATTGTAGCAGACAGAAATGACACACTTGGCCTTTTTTCACGTGTTTGATGCAGTGCTGTTCCTCTTAGTGTGTGTATGTGCTTGAATGCATGTGTGTCTGAGGTGGATAGAGGGACAAAGTGCATGTTCTGAATTTGATGGATCGGTGAAGTGACAACCAGGCCAGAAAGCAAATAGTGGAAATGAGGTCTAACCTTACAGGAAAAAAACAGGCCATTCAGATCGTATATTTCAATCCATGACGTATACTATCAAACAGCCCATTCTACATCATTGCATTTTATAACCTAGCGCATTATGGTGGGGGACTACATCTTAAAGTTAGCTGAACACTAAAAATATAAAAGATATAGTTCACCCATTTACTCAAGACTTATGTTTCAAACCCACTTTGCTCCCTGCAACACAATAGGAGAGGTTACACAGAATTTCCTTGCTGCTCTCTTTATTAAAAGTGAATAGGGATGGTAAATGTGGAGCTCCAAAAATGTATTGTTATTGATTGTTTATTTTGATAATCGAGTAATATGCAGATGATTTTGGCAATTAATCAAGTATTGTTAGTTGATTCAAATGATTCAGAATGCAGCGGTAAGACTGGTCTTCAACGAGCCCAAAAGAGCCCATGTTACACCTCTCTTTATCTCCTTGCACTGGCTACCAGTTGCGGCTCGAATCAAGTTCAAGACATTGATGCTTGCATATAGAACAGCCACAGACTCAGCACCCGCCTACTTCCGCTCACTACATCCCCTCCAGAAGTCTGAGATCCGCTAGTGAGCGACGCCTCGTGGTACCATCACAGAGAGGCTCAAAATCACTTTCCAGAACATTCTCATTCACCGTTCCTGGCTGGTGGAACGATCTTCCCACCCCTATCCGGAATGCTGAATCCCTGACAATTTTCAAGCGACAGCTGAAAACTCATCTCTTTCGAAGCTACTTGACATCATCATCATCATCATCATCATCATCATAAAAAAATAAATAAAAAATGATATATATATATTCTCTCTCTTTATTTATTCCTTCTCTTTCTAGCTTGTACTTATTTGAACAATGTCTAAAAACTTGGTATTACAACCACTTCCTGTGTCTGTTTGCCTCTTTAAGAAGAAGCTTTGGATAAAAGCGTCTGCTAAATGACTAAATGTAAATGTAAATGTTAGCAAGTAATAACCAGTTACACTTCATTTAAGGTGTTGTTGTTACCGTGTAATTATACAATTAAGTACTGAGTAATAGTAATTAACATACTTACTATAGGGCTAGGATTAGTGTTTGGTTTATGGCTAGTTGCTTCTAATTATGTATATATATTTACTGTTATTACTATAGTAAATACATAACATGGGTGACAAGGACACTACAATAAAGTGTTACCCAATAGCCTTTGAAATTACTTTAAATACAGATATAAACAACACTGGGGCAATAATAATAAGTTCAATAAAGCAATAAAGGTCATCTTAATGTGATAGTTGTATATCTGTGTAATAGTAAAGCAGACTGTTTTGCACTGCAAGAGAGACAGATATGCATTTAAAATATACATAAACATCAAGAAAATTAGTCATGATTTGAAAAAGATTTATTTAATAGTTAGAATAATGTATGTACTACATGTAAAGTAAAGTTTGCAATACAGCACTAAAGTCATAAATACTTATTTTTATGGCACTCCAAAGACATAATTTTCACATCCCCATTCATCCTTTTATTGTATGGAAATGAGCATCATGGACATTCTGCAAAATGTGTCCTTTTGTGTTCATACAGAAGAAAAACGGCATATAGGTTTGGAACAAAATGAGGGCGAGTAAATTAAGCGTTAGCGTTAATTCTGGCAGGTCACGTGAGTCAAGCTTGCATCAGCTGATTCTCAGCTGATCACATCTACCTATAGGAATACGACACCTATCGCGGCATTCCTATATAAGCTCTATTCAATATTATTCAGCAGCTTTTCAGCTTGCTCAGGAGCAAATTACCCCCCTCCATCCCCAGCTCCTCCTTTCGCCACAGTCAGGACTTGGCTTTCTGATATTCCTTGCTAATCAGACTCCTTTATCTTGAATAAAGTGTTACACTTAAATATCAAGTACATTAATGATATCTGCCTTGTTCTGTTCTGTTAACCCTAGGGGGGGTATTATTGCTGCACTCCCTGCTCATTCATGACAGGCTGCATGGATGGGCAGGGAGGTTTTTGCCCAGAACAGAACCATACCGCCAAACCAAACTTTATGCTAAGTATCTATCATTGTGACGACAGTGGCCCTGACAGAAATAACAGAATTTGAGGCTTGATGACATGTCAGGCTTGAATTGTATTGAATTTTAATGCGGATGAAAACGAGGCAGTGTTACAATAGAACACACTGTAAAAGGCACTAGATCGTGCAATTTCCACAGCTCACAACTTAAAAAAATATTTTATAGTTTGTGTCCACTAAAAAGTTTTTTCTTTCGAAAAGACATTTTGTCAGCTGAAGTTGCTGAACAAAAGTTCTGTTTTTAAATCCAGTGATCACACTGTACATCTTCTATCCTGTCAAAAGTTAATTATAGTCTGACTAAGGTCTATTGGGGTAGGGCATCTCTTCCACCTTTCTTTCTTTTTATTTGAGTGCACTAGAGAAGAAGATCATCATAAACCATTCTGCTCTTCAGTATCGCTCATATAAACAGGTTCCCTGATTAAAAGAGTATTGTTATACACAGTATAAATCCATATTCAAATCAATTAGGCTACATAATAAAGCACTCTGTTGTGACATCCAGGCACTGGAGGAGGCTGTGAGCCTGTGGGCAATACAGCCTGCTTGACTGGACACAGTAGTGACCTCACCCTGACGCTGTTTCAAGACCTTTCGTTACGAAAGCAGGAACTTCACCAATGTAAAGTCTTCCAAGTTTTCTGACTAAGATTGTGCAACACAAAGGGAATGTGTATGTACTAGCGGAATTCTTTTTTTTCCTTTTTTTTTTTTTGTCATCTACTCTTTGTCCCAGTCCTCAAAATTCCCCAGAGGGCTTCAGAGCTATTTCCACAGAGCACAGAGTGATCGTAAACGCTGGCTGGTTTAGTCTATGCATGTCAATCACTTGGGTGTGTTTTCCTATAAGTGTGTTGGCAGCATCCACCACATAACAATTCATACACTTTGATGAACTTCCAAATTACCTATGATAAATCTCACTGCAAAATGTAAGATGCAGTGCCATAACAGACAAATGCTCTTCAATATTCAGACTGGCGTTTGATCTATATGGATTTTTCAATGTTTGACAATCAAATAATGGTATTTGCCCCTAAATATCTGTGTGGTGCATGTGTTCACTACACAGGAAAGTATGGACCCAGGTTACACACCTTACCCTTCAACACTCTCACAGAGATGATGAGATCACTTAAATGTCTTACTCACAAGAGGTGAACCTGTCTGAATGTGTGTGCGCTTGTGCACGACAAATATGAGAAGAATGAGGGAGTATCTCCTTCGTTCTGTCTGTTTTACTCTCTCTCTCTCTCATAATTAATTTTTTAATTGTAAGTGTATTTGTTGGAAGGATTGTTTGTTTAGCATTAAATATGATTTTTTTTTAAACAATAAAAATAGGATAAAGTGACAGTATTTTTAACAAAATAATTCCAAAATATAAGATAAAAAATATTCATACAGAAGACTTCTCTGTTGTACAGACAATGAAGTCAGTATGAATTTTAGAGCAGTGACGGGTATCTGCAGTTCATATATAAATTTGGCTGTGACAGATGCATGACTGTCCTCTCTCTCTCTCACTCATATGCACAAATTAGGGTAGTTTAATGCTGGTCTTTCATTTCTGACTAGTGTTATAAGAATGTATATAAACAGATGAGACCAACTAAAAGAATTAGCCTGGGTGATCCTCGGCACCTGACGCGGCAAAAAGCTACAAACACGCGCTATCGTCTTTATCATAATATTACAATACCGGAAACATAATTACGATACGGCATTTTGGTGTATTATAGGCGCGTTCCAGTCTGACTCAGCGAACGCGTCTAGCTGCCTTAAAATGCTGTCTAGGTAGTGCACTAGGTTTTGAGACATCGCGCCGGTAGCTGTTCGCGTCTGTTCTGTGTATGTCTAGCAAAGCTGATCTATTCTCATTATAGAAGACCTACAATAGCCTACAAAGAGGAGAAAGCACACCTCGGGCATTAGGCTATATGTGACAAATAAATAGAGCACCTCTTAATGCAGCATGGAAGAACGGCAGGGAACGGTTCATACTTTCTTAAGATGGCTCAGGGAAACACCCTTTAACGGTGATTACTGACTGTATCTGCATATGAAGATGAAACATTTTTGTCTCTGTATGCGTTTGAATTATTTACTATATATCTATTCACTTGATTCTCAGAGAGCGTGCTATTTGAATAGACTTAATACATAATTCATAAAACGTTTTGATACTGCAAATGCGTGCTAATGTGCCCGCGACGTGGCTGTTTTTTAAAATGCATTTTAATGCCGGGGTCCTTCCAGATCTTTATGCACACACTCTTGGGGGGGCTGTCCCTCTCCGGTGTCATTTTCGGCTTTATTTCGAGGCCCTATAACCCTGAAACATGATCACGCGCACGGCACAGAATAAGGAGATACGGACATAATACAAGACAACGCGTGTCTTACCTTGAATGTGTTAATCCACTCTCAGGATATGACTAGAGATGTGAAGAGAAATGAAACGTGCTCTCGTGCTTTTCTTTCTAGTGTGAGAGTACTAATAGTGCAAATGCGGCTTTTCACATTACAGCGCTCCCGTGAAGCCGCAAACTCATTCACACTGAGAATAAAACAGACAGGAAAGCGAAGTGGTGGCAAACGGAGGACTTCAGCAAAACGCCGACGCTTCCTCGCTATTGACCAATGGCGTTTAGGATTTACAAGCTTAATCCCGCCCTCCAGAAAATAGAAGCTAATTAAAGCCCTTACTATCCCTTTAAACCCGCCTCGTGAATAGGACAGAGCGGCCACGCCTTTGAACTGGCAGCTTCTCGCTCGACAGCCAATTAGACGCGCGACGGGTAGATTGACAGAGCTGGACGACCAATGAATGGCGTGGAATGGGTGAGGCTTGTCTAGATTGACGTGGCAGCAGGCCAATGGCAGAAGAGCAGCAGGTGCCGCTGCAGAACTGTCGCGCGGTGGGGTAGAGATTTGCGCTCTCTTTGTTGACAGCAGCGCAGTGTGTCTGTCTGTGTGACGCGAGAATGATCCCCGATGCTGGACGCCCCAGATTCCGCATTAATGCCGAGGAGTCTGAAGATAGAGGTCTGGATGGCCGCGCCTAACAATTGTAGTCAGAAATGGAACAACATTTGAGGTGACTACAGCTGTTTAAATTGGGCACAAATACACCATTTGTACAATATACAAAATAAAATGACCATTTAGCATATAATTTATTTATTTACTGACATAATAGTTACATAACATGTGAAAAATTGACAAATATGACAATCAAGCATAATGATGATGATGATGATTATTTTATTATTTTTAATTAATATACTAAAATAATAATTACACAAGTCGGAAACGTTCTAGATGATTACAGCTGTTTAAATTGAGCATACATGCACCATTTTTATAACTGATAAATACAATTACCATTTAGCATATATTATTATTATTATTAATAGTATTATTATTTTCATTTAATTCAATAATTAACGTGTTGTTATTATTAATATGTAATACTGACATTACCCAATTATAGGCTACTATTCATAAGTTATTCCTTATAAAAATTCGTACTTTTTTAAGCACATTAGGAGAAAAATTTGGAATACGAATAGAAATGTGGGAGACAAGTCAAGAAAGCATTTTTTTTTATTATTCTACACTTGTCCATGAAGCACATTCTGTCTTACAAAGTAGTAATGTGTGAATGGTATCAAAGGAACAGCACAGAGGCCTGGACACTGATTGACCAATAACATAACTGCATTTAGAGAATAAATCAAAATAGAACATGAGCCGCTGGATGCCATGGTGAACTCAGGCATTACTGAATTATGGAGTGATAAAAGCATCTGGTAATTCGTCAGGGTGATGGTTTTTCTTTAGTATTTAGAAATTTAGAAAACAAAAATGAGGGCAAAATGCAAGTGATAGGTCCAGTTAGATGTCAAACTAGGGTAGCCGGACTGACAGACAAGCACTCACACACACACACACACACACACACACACACACACACTAACAACAGTACTCAGGCCTATAAAAATAATTTTGTGGTCATGAAGACTAATTATAAACAAGCAAGCTTACGTGCAGAGAAACAGACAAATTAAAAGTAGATGACAATAGCAAATAAGGGGATATATTTTCTATTCAAATAGAGGGCTAGATGTCTAAGATTCAATGTCTAAGATAACAACTGTACATAGCCCTAAGTTTAACCTGTGATAGGGTTCAGTCGAGTGTGTGTATATTTTAGTCCACACCTAAAACTACACCAGTGGAGAGACACAACTTGAGAGACAGAGACAATTTTATCTTCTGTCGACTATGAATATGCATTTGTATGACTTAATTTGGCCAAATATCTACAAAGCTGTCTGTGATAGTAATGCTATGCAATCATATATTTAAGCGTAGGTATAATGTACATTACTGTTCAAAAGTTTGGGGCCAGTAATTAATAGTTTATTCAGCAAGGATGTAGTAAATTGACAGTAAACAGTAAAGACATTTACAGTGTTACAACATATTTATATTTAAATTAAATGTTGTTATTTTGAACTTTATTACTATTCAAATAAACCTGAGGGGAAATGTATAATATAAAAATATTGAGCAGCACGACTGTTTTCTACTGTGATAATAATAAGAGATGTTACACCAAATCAGCATATTAGAATGATTTCTGAGAAGAAAACAAATGGCTTGGTATATCAGAGCAATAAATAGCATTTTTAAATATATTCAAATAGAAATCAGTTATTTTATATTGTAATATTACTGTTGTTACTGTATTTTTAATCAAATAAATGCAGCCTTGCTGACTATAAGAGACTTTGTTCAATAACACTGCATTCAAAAACATGTTCTACAACTCCTAACTTTTGCATATTATTTTAATACATATTTTTGTGTAATATGATTATGCATGCAGCTACCAATAACTGTAGCCAAGTTTTCTTCCACTTTTTGCACTGTTTATTGTTAAAATGCATTAAAAGAAACTGCATTACAATGCTGTCTCCTTCCAGTTGACCTTTTACTGATGAAACAGTTGCATAAGTAAAATAAAAAAATAGAACATAATTATAATAATATGTCAGTTATGCAAAGAGACATTGATTCGATGTTTGCTTTTTTTCCTAATTTGAATTATCGTTTAAATCTTTTTTAGCAAAAATACTTGGATGAAAACTTGGCAAGTGTCTCAGCTCTATTTAACACATTTTACCATATTCATATATAGACTTAAATAGATTTTTCTAAAAAAAATCATCATAGAAAATGTGGGAAATGTCTACAGATTCCATCTGTGCCATGTAACATCAGCATAATACAACCTACATTTCTCCATTGCTCCCTAAAACCTCAAAACAATCAGGCTCACTTTCAAAGGCACACCGCCGGCAAACTAATTACACACAAACACACAAGAAAAAACCTGTCCAGCAACATGCTTTAGGTCAGAATGTTTGTGTGGTTGTTTAAGAATGAATGGAAGACAGAAAAAACGAAAAATGCCCCAGTCATTACATAACAATACTACAGACTGTAATAAGTCATTTACCTTAGTTACTAAATTTACCATAGTTACTACTACACAGTTATGAAACACTGAGAGAAAAAAAAATGAAAGTCAACAATCCAAACAGTGGCTGATGACAGATTAATGTGATGTCCAATGAGTATATATATATATATAAGCTCCTACTTTTCGGGGGAATTCATTAAAAATGAATGAAGTGTCAATGAGTTTATTTAAATACGGTGCACTGCTAAACCAGTTAAGATTGCAACAGAGACAGGCCACTTGTATTACAGTGAATAAGAGAATATTGAAATGTCCAAGATGGCAGCTCTAGTATATAAAGATCCACATCCCAAAATAAAAGCCAATCAGCAAAGTCATCGTTTGGTCTTTACAAAGGTTCTTGGTTTTCAATAACAGCCGTGAAGTGCTTGGTCTTGTGAAACTTTGCTCTGTACGATAAGTGTATAGAGTGTCAGCAGAATGAGTTATTAAAACCCAAAAACATTTTTGAACTTCTGGTTCTGTCATCCTTACAAGGATAGTTTACCCAAAAATGAAAATTCTGTCATTAATTACTCATGTGCAATTACTCATTACTACCCTCATGTGGTTCAAAACCTGTAAAGCCCCGTTCACACCAAGAACGATAACTATAAAGATAACTACAGTATAAAGATAAAGATATTAGCATTCACACCAGCGAACGATATCATGTTTATTTTTTTTAAGCGCTCCTGCCGCTTTAAATTCTCAAGCTTGTTATAGCAGGATGGATTCTGATTGGGTGTCAATGTTTTTATCGTTCATCAGCTGGAAAAAATCATTCTGAAAGTGATTCCAACAATATAGTTTCTCTGCATTTATCGTTATAGCTTTGGTGTGGACTCTGCTATTCTTTAATATTGAGAACGATTTTTAGAACTATATCTTTATCTTTATATCTTTATAGTTATCGTCCTTGGTGTGAACGGGCATTAAGACCTTCATTCATCTTCGGAACACAAATTAAGATATTTTTGTTGAAATCTGAAAGCTTTCTGACCCTGCTTAGACAGCAATGCAACTGACACGTTCAAGTAGTGTTGTCAAAAGTACCAACTTCGGTACCAGTCTGTACTGAAATTTTAAAAACATCCATTTCCCGCTAACAATTGAGTGCTGTTGAGCCGTTTTTATCGTTCATCAGCTGGAAAAAATCATTCTGAAAGTGATTCCAACAATATAGTTTCTCTGCATTTATCGTTATAGCTTTGGTGTGGACTCTGCTATTCTTTAATATTGAGAACGATTTTTAGAACTATATCTTTATCTTTATATCTTTATAGTTATCGTCCTTGGTGTGAACGGGCATTAAGACCTTCATTCATCTTCGGAACACAAATTAATGTTGAAATCGAGATATTCTTTGGCATACGGCTCATTCTAACACGCCCCCACATGTCTATGTCACGATGTGGGAAGATTTGCATAACGCCGCCCAAATGTTCACGCAAAGAAAAAAGGCGTAACTTTTATTCTCGCTGTAGTATTGTTGTTGCCGCCGCCATGTTGTGAAGGCACTGTGTGATTCGTTGTGAAAGCGAAACTACTTTGTTTGGCCTTCCAAAAGAGGACAAATATCTGCTTCGTCATGCCTGGAGCTGATCCGTGCTGGTGGCTGAGGAAATACTACAACTTTGCGCTGTGGATCGCCGGATCGGCTTTCACCGTGGACGAAGCAGAGTCCAGCCCGGGGTCGTCACATGTGGTTGCCGCAAACCTCCTTCGTCGAATCCGCCGCCGTGGGTGACGCTGTGTTTAGTTGTGAAAGCGAAACTACTTTGTACATGACTAGATATCTGCTTCGTCATGCCTGGAGCTGATCTGTGCTGGTCGCTGAGGAAATACTTCAACTTCGTGCTGTGGATCGCCGGATCGGCTTTCACCGTGGACGAAGCAGAGTCCAGCCCGGGGTCGTCACATGTGGTTGCCGCAAACCTCTTTCGTCAAATCCGCCGCCGTGTGTGACGCTGTGTTTAGTTGTGAAAGCGAAACTACTTTGTACATGACTAGAAGTCAGTGGTTAAGTTGTATTTACAACACTGTTCCAGAACACTTCAACTGAAATATTCAGATCTGTGCAGCACATTTTATGGAGGACCGTTTCCTGATCCTGGGAGAGTAGACTATAATGCAAAGCAACGCGTTGCAACGCAACGTGTAAAACGACAGTATAAGTCATTATAATCCATAATTATGTCCCCACTGGATGCAACGAATGCCTCGTTTATAATGGGTTTTCATGTTTTTGAATCATCGCTCTGGCCTGACAGGGCATCATCATAATATGGCAGGGGCGTAACATTTCCGTCACACGCTTGAGGTATTCGGCCAATCACAATGCACTGGATAGCTGGCCAATCACAGCACACCTCGCTTTTCAGACCGATGAGCTTTGTAAAAATCGACGCGTTTCAGAAAGGCAGGGCATAGAGGAGAAACAATAATGTACAGTATGTGGAAAATAATGTGTTTTTTTAACCTTAAACCGCATAAACACATTTCATTACACCAAATAATGTTCTTTTTAGCAGCATCATATGACACCTTTAAACACTGCTGTTAGGCCAATGTGTTCACGCGCTCAACAGATATGACTGTGATTGGCTACAATGACCATCGCTTCATGCTCTTCACCGAGCGCTCACACAGAAGCACATGGGAGCATTTAAAAGCAGGCATCTGACAGCTTTTAAACACTCCTGTGTGGATGTTTATAAAATGGCCATTTTTAAAATTTAAGTACAGACTCGTACCAAAGTTGGTACTTTTGACAACACTGTGTTCAAGGCCCAGAAAGGTAGTAAGGACATTGATAAAATAGTTCATGTGACATTGGTGGTTCAACCTTAATTTTATGAAGCTACGAGAATACTTTTTGTGCACAAAGAAAACAAAAATAATGACTTTATTCAACAATGAACGTGGCAGTTGCGTTGCTGTCTATGCAGGGTCAAAAAGCTCTCAGATTTGCTCTCTTGCGAACTATTCTCAAACGTTCTAAATTTTAAATGAAGAATGAAAGAGTTGGTCGTGACATTGAAGTCATACGACCGTGGTGTAGTTCGTTTATAGCCTACGTTTAGCTTTTTAAGGGGCGTAACATTTCCGTCACACGCTTGAGGTATTCGGCCAATCACAATGCACTGGATAGCTGGCCAATCACAGCACACCTCGCTTTTCAGACCGATGAGCTTTGTAAAAATCGACGCGTTTCAGAAAGGCAGGGCATAGAGGAGAAACAATAATGTACAGTATGTGGAAAATAATGTGTTTTTTTAACCTTAAACCGCATAAACACATTTCATTACACCAAATAATGTTCTTTTTAGCAGCATCATATGACACCTTTAAACACTGCTGTTAGGCCAATGTGTTCACGCGCTCAACAGATATGACTGTGATTGGCTACAATGATCATCGCTTCATGCTCTTCACCGAGCGCTCACACAGAAGCACATGGGAGCATTTAAAAGCAGGCATCTGACAGCTTTTAAACACTCCTGTGTGGATGTTTATTCAACAATGAACGTGGCAGTTGCGTTGCTGTCTATGCAGGGTCAAAAAGCTCTCAGATTTGCTCTCTTGCAAACTATTCTCAAACGTTCTAAATTTTAAATGAAGAATGAAAGAGTTCGTCGTGACATTGAAGTCATACGACCGTGGTGTAGTTCGTTTATAGCCTACGTTTAGCTTTTTACTTCTAGGGATTGTATTTAGGCTTCAAAATTCATAGTTGTGGACATTCATAGTTGTTTTCATTTGTGAAGGTTTTTATGGTGAACAAAACATGTAAGAATTATGAACTTTTGTTGGTCACAGAGCTTATTTTCTGAAATAATGGAAAATTCTGTTGGCTTTTTTCGAGGGAAGCAGAGTGATGCTAATTTCGAGGTTGGCCTACAAAAATATTCTGGCATGAAATAGGTCTAACTCAATCTGACCTAATGACATCATCACATGACACAGCTGATTGGTCCTTTCCTGTATCGGTAGCCAATGAGCTCGCTGCTCAACATTCAAATATATGATTAGTGCTTGCCGTAGCAGTACGCGGCTTGCTTCAGAAAGCCTCCACCTTCCCCAGCTCCACCTGTATAGATCTGCTATGAGGTGATTCATGTATGCTATATGGGGGTTATTTCATGTATGTTATATTTGCAGCAGCAATATTTCTTACATGCTCACAGCAGCATGTTGTGGATGTATTGGCAGTAGCAAGTCTCGGTACTTGCTCTGCTGTAGTAGCAGCAGCAGCAGAAGCGTAGCAGATCTATTCCGCCAAGACCAAATACATTTACATGTACATTACCAACTCCGAGAGTTGTCATGACAGAAATATCCTTTTAGCTGGACCAACCTAAAATATAGTTTTTTTTAGTAATATACTATAAGTTTATGATATCATTCATGTCAGAATATATTGCTGATTTTACTGAGACTTCAATGTTTCCCTACCCAATTTGATAGAACCTATGTATGACTAAAATAGCTGTGTTTCCAAGATGGCCGGCAAGTCTCGGTACTTGCTCTGCTGTAGTAGCAGCAGCAGCAGAAGCGTAGCAGATCTATTCCGCCAAGACCAAATACATTTACATGTACATTACCAACTCCAAGAGTTGTCATGACAGAAATATCATTCCTAAAGTGCTCTTTTAGCTGGACCAACCTAAAATATAGTTTTTTTTAGTAATATACTATAAGTTTATGATATCATTCATGTCAGAATATATTGCTGATTTTACTGAGACTTCAATGTTTCCCTACCCAATTTGATAGAACCTATGTATGACTAAAATAGCTGTGTTTCCAAGATGGCCACCTGAATTGACTTGCTTTGAAAGATACTTTGATGGCATCTGATAAAACAGGATTACAGGGGTAAGTGAAGAAGACACATGCAGAAATACTGCACTAGTGCAACCGATTAGTGAATTCACCCCACTGTCTTGCTATCTTGCTCTTTTGTTCTCTTCTCCCAGGTGGTGAGAGGCCCCTTTCCCTCTTCTATTCTCCATCTTTTGTGCATTCTGTCTTCTCTCAGCCCATCCTATGCATGACCTATTGTCATTAATCAGTCCTACATTGTCCCTTTACGGTCCTCTTTGCCTTAGTCCCCTGTCCAAATCTGTCTTTCCAGCTCTTTGTCCATTAGCTGGTTCTCTCACTTTCTCCCGACCCCTGCTTCCAACTCCTCTCTCCATCCTGACCCTTTCCCTTTCTTTCTTTGACCGCTGCTTTCCCCTGTGCCCTTTCATCCAAGCCATGTGGCTCAGTGTACGTGTGGGTGCTCACTGCAGGAGTCTTGTCGAGATGGTGGTGTGGGCCGAACGAAAGAGGGTGAGGGAGAGGGGGAAGAACAGGGGGATGGAGAAAACTGGTCAGGGCAGGGAGGGACAGAGGGGGAGAGCTGCAGAGCCACCTCATTCTCATAACAGAAGGAGGAACGGGAGACCAAGATGTACTTTTTCTCGGCTAACTCTTTAGCACTGCAGGTGGGCGTGTCCGGGACCTCGTAAGTCCTGTTGAAGTATGAGTAGTCCACCTAGAGGTGGGGAGGACACATGACAAGTACAAGGCATAACTAGATTTGCATTTCTAAAAGTCAAGAAAAGAATATTGCTATTTTAGTTAAGACAAGTTTTTGGAATTAGTTCTACATCAAAAAAATAAGCAGGAGAATTATCACTGTACGCAACACCATCTTTCCAGCATGAAGTTGGCTATAGATGATTTCTAGTATCGACAGATCGTATTTATATAGAATTGACTGATATTCAGAAGTGAATTGAGAATACCTTTTTAAATTTCAATTCAGTTTAAATCCCAATTCAGTTCAAATTAATTAAAAGTGAGGTAAAAGCAGATTGCAGGAATTGCTATTTGAATTTAAAAATGCTTGAAAAAAAATTATATATACTATATATATATCTTTTTTTTTTTTCCTCATGAGATCGGGTTATATTTTATTTCATATTCATATTTTTTTTCTCTGAATTGCATTTCTACAGCAAATTTTTCGTCCTGTCATTTGAATTCAAATTCTTGTGGAAAATGGCCAATTACTTTCAAATTATGAATTTTGAATTTTGTCTGACCCTATCTCTTATCAACACAAAAATTGCGGGGTTACTTATTGTGGTTGCTTAGTAAGTAAAGTTGCTTACTAAGTTACTATATCAAGATTTCTTTCTTCTTTTTTTTTACAGATTGCTTATTTTTCTATAAATCTGGCAACACTGTAAGAAAACCAGACCAATCACAACTGAGTATGTGAACAGTATCAGAATATCACAATGTAAATGCTGTTGGTTAGAACTTAAATGGCAATAATTCTATTAGTCAATAGATTTGCTGTTGGATGGATTGATGGATTGTGTTAAGTTAAATGGAGCTGAATTACATAGGTCCCTAATGTTGGGTGGTTTGAAACAAATTCTAACCAGAATGTTTGAGAAATATCAATACAATGTAGCCTTACAAACACAGTAATGAGTCCAATCTGGTACTTTTACACTTTACATTTACAACCACTACATTTCCTTTCAACCCTCCATTTTTCACCTGGTAGCAGTTCTTCCTTTCATAGAGCACAGGTTCAAAGCGATGACCCCAGAGGATCTCAGAGGCCAGGTATGAAGACCGGCATTGGGTTGTCATGGCAGTGGCCTCCACCATGCCCTCCAGAATCACCACCACTTCCATATCTTTGTCTTCCTCTAGTGTATGTTTGTCCACCTCAAAGAAAGGGCTCTCCTCATTAATTTCGTGCACAATTGTCACAGGTGACACCAAAACGATACGATCTGTTCCTGTGTCAAAGCCGACATTGAGGTCTGCATTGTCCAATGGCAGGAACTCACCCTCAGGGGTCAACCGTGGCTGCAGGAAAGGTAAAAAGCGCTGTTAAGTTTTACATAGAGTAGATCAACGTTTTAGTCATTTTTATTGTTTGACATAAATGTAATTTAGCATATTTAGATTAGTTAATACATAGTCATTTAATATGTATTAATTAAAGTCCATTTTATACAGACTGACAAGGCACAATTTTTGTCAATGAAAAGTTTTAGCTGATGATAATATGTAAAATGGTGAAAACGTGTGTCTGTAACATAGCAAACTTTAACTAAATTTTCCACAACAAGTTATAAATATGTTTTTACACATATCATAGATTTCAAAGTTCACAAAATTTCTGGCAGTAATTTCGACCTCCAAGTCGATGTTATAATAGCAGCATTGTGTCGTAATCAGACACATTTTATGATAAAAAGTGATAAAAGCTGTCTTCCATGGACAGATCCAATCTGTGTTTTTGTAGTGTTGCTATGAGTGATAGATTTTGTTGGTTGCTTGGTTTCTATTTTGTCACACAAAGAGTCCCCATTGACAGTGACATCTCATTGGACATAAAATTGTTTCTGACTGGCTGTAATTGTGTTTCATCAAACATCTGTACACAGCACCTGGTGAGAATAATATAAGATTATTAAAGAAGATATTTAAAAAAAGGAAAACAATTGTATGCATGTGCATACTGTTTTCAGGAATCTATTTTATTCCAGTCAGTTTAGGCAATAACATACTGTATGAAATATAAGAATTTATTGTTTGATCTCCATGTTCAAACTTCTGACCATCTGACCTCAAAACATCAGGATGTGTTAGAAACATTAGTATTGCATGTGGATATGAATACAATAAAAGACAATTATAAACATGATCCTCAGACATTCACACACCTACACAATGACACATTTGAACACGTTTACGACAATAAGATTTCATTCACTCTTAAACAAAAGCATACCGACTCAAATAATTTAATCAGGCCGTTAAATTAAGTCACACACACACACACACACACACACACACACAGGGCAGATACGCAAGACAATGGTTTGCTCTGGTAAAATTAATCCCCTCTGCAAATCTTATAAACCTCTGGTATGAGCTTGAACAAAACAAGCCGTTATTAACCACACCAACTGTCCAGATGTCAATCTCTCTCATTCTTTTTCTCTTTCATTTACTCATCTCACCATGTATTCTACCTTCATGCAAGGTATTTCTTTCTCGTATACACTAGACTACCTTTCAAAAGTTCGGTAAGATTTTACAGTATAATTTATTGAAAGATGTCACTTATGCTCACCAAGGATGCATTTATTTGATCAAAATACAGTAAAAACTGTAATATTGTGGCATATCATTACATATTACATATTACAAAATGTAATTTATTCCTGTGATGGCAAAGCTGAATTTTCAGCATCATTACTCCAGTCTTCAGTTTCACATGATCTTTCAGAAATCATTCTAATATGCTGATTTGGTCCTCAAGGAACATTTCTTATTATTATCAATGTTGAACACAGTAGTTCTACTTAATATTTTTATGGAAACCATGATGCATTTTTTTCACAATTCTTTTATGAAAAGAAAGTTGAAAAGAACAACATTTATTTGAAATATAAATATTTTTAAGATTTCTTTACTGCCATTTTTGATCAAATGAATGCAACCTTGCTGAATAAAAGCATTCCTTAAACAATAAATAAATAAAAATCTTACAGTCCCCAAACCTTTGAATGGTAGTGTACCTTCAAAAGAACCACAGTAATCCCATGGATTTTTAGACATGGTAGCCAGTTACGGTAATGCTACGGAATTCTTTGAAATACCTTGAAATATCAAATAAAGAGCATATGGAATGAGTATGGTGATCATTTAATAACAAGGTAAATATTAAAAGAAAGTTGAAAAGAACAACATTTATTTGAAATATAAATATTTTTAAGATTTCTTTACTGCCATTTTTGATCAAATTAATGCAACCTTGCTGAATAAAAGCATTCCTTAAACAATAAATAAATAAAAATCTTACAGTCCCCAAACCTTTGAATGGTAGTGTACCTTCAAAAGAACCACAGTAATCCCATGGATTTTTAGACATGGTAGCCAGTTACGGTAATACTACGGAATTCTTTGAAATACCTTGAAATATCAAATAAAGAGCATATGGAATGAGTATGGTGATCATTTAATAACAAGGTAAATATTACAATTAGTGCTGTCAAACGATTAATCGCATCCAAAATAAAAGTTTTTATTTACATAATATATGTGTGTGTACTGTATATATTTATTATGTATATATAAATACACACGCATGCATGTATATGTAATGTTTATATATTAAATATATTTATATATGATATAAATTATATGAATATAAATATATACATGTAAATATTTTCAAAATATATGCTGTATATGTGTGTATTTATATATACATAATAAATATACACAATACACACACATATATTATGTAAACAAAAACTTTTATTTTGGATGTGATTAATCGCGACTAATCGTTCGACAGCACTAATTACAATACTATGGTACAGTATTACCATCACTGTACCAAGGTGCAGTCATATTTGCTAGCATCTCTGTCCCTGTTCATTTTCCAAGCATTCTCTCCGATTCACTCTTTCCCATCATTCTGACCTCAAAGCAAAATCAACATCCACTTTAAAATTTACTTCAAAACTGAGATTGAAATTAGCTCTTGTTTTGGAGACCGTTTCCAACCAGAACTAACCTTGCATTGTCAAATTCTCTTTTGTTTCTTTTCAAAGAATTTTAATTCAGAAATTAATGCTCATCATAGAATAGGTATTTTGCTACAAGTCACTTCATGTAATGTGTGAATTGCATTTTTATTCTGTTTAAATGAACAGACAGGACAAGACACAAACACACCATCTCACTGACCTTCAGTATCTGTGCTCGTACATGGGCCTCCACCAGGTGGCTCTTGCGCAAGTTTCCCACTCGCCACATCATACAGAGTTTCCCGTCCCTCATGGCCACCACGGCCACATCCGAGAACACCAGTGTCTCATTGCGCTTCTTGGGCTTGGCGATCTTAGCCATTACCGCCCCAATGATGAAAGCGTCGATGATGCAGCCCACAATGCACTGCAACACGACAGCAAGCACCGCCAGGGGGCAGGCCTCGGTAACGCTCCGGAAGCCGTATCCTATAGACGTCTGCGTCTCCAGAGAGAAGAGGAACGCCGCCATGAAACTGTTCACCTGCTGAAAGCAGTGTTCCTCTGTCTCTGCCAGAGGAGCCAGCGAGGAGGAAACAGACGAAGGAGAAGAGGAAGATGATGCCGGGGGCGCCAGATCCCCGTGAGCGGCGGCGATGAGCCAGAACGTGAAACCAAAGAGAAGCCAGGAGAGCAAGAAGGAGAGGGTGAACACCACGAGCATCCAGCGCCAGCGGATGTCCACGCAGGTGGTGAAGAGGTCGGTGAGGTAGCGCTGGCCCCTTTCGCTCATGTTGACGAAGGTGACGTTGCAGCGCCCGTCCTTGCCTACAAAGCGCCGTCGGGGCCGGCGGGACTGGCCGCGGCGTTCATGGGGCGGCGAGGGCGAGAGGGAACACGAGGACTTTCTCTTGCTCCTCTCCCACCTCCCTTCTGCCCCAGACTCCCCCCTGAGCGCCGGGCCACGCCCTCCTCCTCCTCCTCCTATCCTCCCTCCCCCTTCTTCATCATCATCATCATCGTCATCCTCCGCATCATCCTCATCCCTCTCTCTGCTCCTTCCTCCATTGCTATGGTGAAGGTTGAGCACTTTGCCATTGCAGTCGGGCGACGGAAGTGTGTCCGACTGGGAGGAAGTGATTTCATCACTCTGCGCCAGCCTCATGACTTCCTCCTCGTCCAGCGGGGTGTCCACAACCACACTGAAGCGCCTCTTTACCCGAGCAGCCCCCATTATTGGTGACCGCAAGGTGACTACAAAATGTTCGGGAAAAATGAAGCTTTGCCAGATAAATCCAGGGTCAAAATGGATAAAAAATACGGATGCAATGATATATATACAAACTATGAGTTGTAGACTGTATTCCACAGCGAGGCTTATGGCCTGAAAGAGACCGTATTATCATTCAGATCCCGGCAGCCAATCGTTGCCCAGAGACGGAACACAATCGCATTAGAGATCATCTCTGACATCATCAAAGAGTCTCCACTTGAGTGGTCCGTCCACTGTCTGCTATTAATAAACCAGTATTCCTGGACAATTTTGATGAACGCAAAGTTCCAAAGTTGTTAGATGCAGTAAATAAAGAAAACAAAATCCAGTTTCAATGCAGTTTCTCAGCTTTAGCAGTAGTTTTGCTAAGGTTAGGTGGTGGGCAGAGACTAGACAGAGGAAAACTGTGCTGCTTTAGGTCTATGCGTAACATATAGCAGCTTCATAAGAAAGTGAGAAACTAAAAGGCACAAACAAACAAGGCGAAGCTCAGGCAGAGCAGAAGGATGAAGGAAAACTGAACTTACATAACATGAAGGAAAAACATAAACAAGCCTCAGTCTTAAGCTGAGGGAACATACAGAGGGAAACTGAAAAGAACATGCATTAAACTGTCTAGAACATATGTGTGTAATAAATAACAGCATGCATATACAGACCAATCTTTCTCTTTAGGACCTCTTCAGCGTTCCTTATTTAAATAGTGAGATGTTTAAAGACACAAGAGAGATGTGCAATTAATATGAAAACTAGTCAACATTTCCTAATACTTCACAAATGTGACCTCTTTGCCTTCAATATTGAGCAAATATATCTCTGGAACAGAACAAGTCCATTTCTCAATCATATTAGACATCAAAACAATTCAAACAGTCAGAAGTGACATTCTGTCACAGTCATGTTTCCATCTCCAGTCTGGCTTCAGCAGATTTTCCAGTCTCACACCAAGAGCCCGGTTCTCCAAAAGAAAGGGACATTTTGCTCTAGAAAACTCTTGATTGAAGTTCTATTACTGAATTACTATAGTGCACACATTACAATAGTAAGAGGTTTAGAGTGAGATGAATTATGACCTGTTTGGTTCACTTTGATCTCTCCAAAAGCTTAAAAAAGCTAGGCGATGCTTTGAGATCTTCAGTCCAGTTTGGTCATCAACAAAACACGTGCAACTGGTGAAATGTTCCTAAAAATGAACATTAGGTCAGAGAAATTTTTAATGTCGTAGATTTAAAAAATGAAACGATTGGGGAACCGAACATTCACACCTGATAAGTGGTGTTACCTTTTCATATACCTCCTTTGAGGAACCTGTAGTTCGAGGCTTAATGAACGTGATAGAAAAGATAATCTTTAAAAACGGTGTCTAGTCATGAAAAGCCCACTTGAACAGGAACATATTCAAGGATGAAATAAGAAAATATCACACTCAAAAGAAAAAGAACATTTCTAAAGTGAGAGGTGACATAAGGTTTCATCTTCAAATATCTTCTGCCCTCGCACTGACATTTGTGGTAGAATATATCCACGGCAAATACAACTCAAGAATAGTTTGTCAGGTCCCTGTCACGTTCCATATTATTCGAATCTGCGGTTTTTGGGTTGAGGACATCACAGTCTCTGTTAACTCCTAGAGAGAAAGCATAATATGGAAGTTAAAATGAAATTTAAGGACTAGATAAAACGAATACAAATATCTCTCTGTGACATGAAAGCTGCATTGCAAGCATGCTCAATATATGCTGATTAAGTCTGATTATTTATCTCCAAGAAAATGTCGTAATTCCAATTTGAAAATTCTAACAAACTTTTTTATTTTGTATATTCATAAATAAAAAAATTATAATTACCAGTGCTGGCAGTTAATGGCGTGCATAGATCATCCCGTGTCTTCTTTGCCCTTTCAGTCAGCAGAAATCTGCTGAAAAAGATAAAATATTATGTAAAAGATTAGTGTCTTGCTAAAAAGTCATCGGCCCCTCAAATTGAAAATAAATTAATTGATTAATTAATTAAAAAAAGAATGATAAAAAAATAGCTGAGTCATTCTGTAGTTGTAAACCATGGATGAGTAATTCCACATTTCAGTAATAAAAATGATAAATGTGGTATTTGTTTACTTCTAATATCAAACATGTATAAAAAAGAATATTTCAATTTGTTTAATAAATAGACTTTCAATGTAAACTGCATACTGTAACACCCCTGTGGACTGTCTGTTGTGGTTTCTTCCCCTTTTGTTAGTTCAGCCCATATAATTATTAGTTAATCATCTCATTGTGCTCACCTGTCTGCCCCTCGTTATCTGCACTATATCTGTTCCTGTCTCTGGGATTTGAGTTTTGTCGGTTATTGTGAATGTTACCCCGAGTGTGTGTCTCATCTACCCGAATCTGCCTTGTTGTGTCTACATTAAATATCTTTATTGGAATCCTTGTCGTCATCCTGCCTGCCTCCACACACCGTGACCATGACAGAATAACCGACCCAAAAGTAAAGTACAGTGGTGTCTTTCCCCTCGTTTGTTTTTTCCAGTTTTTATTTAGTTTTTTGATGGATTACCCCACATTCCAAATCTTCCAGCTGGAGCAGGGGGAACGCTCTCTTGAGGACTACACAAACGACTTTCTGTCCCTGGCCCACCTCACGCACTACCCGGACAATTGCATCTGTGGCTTCTATCAAGTCGGACTAAACGCCACCACACGAGCACAGTTGTCTGGGGATGGTCCTTGAGAGCCTCGCCAGCTTCGTCGAGTGGGTGCTGGTGTCCTGCAAGTCCCAGCTAACCGTGGGCATCGCTGACGGTGACACCAGCCTCACTCAGGACACTGAGCCCAGCCCACCATCTCCCCACGGTACGGAGCATAAGCCTGAGCCCACCGATGATGGAGAGCCATTTCCCACCGCGATCCAGGAGCCGGAGCGAAGCCTCTGAGAAGAGGATCGCCTCGGAGGTTGAGCCCAACCCGTCAGACCAGGTGCGAGAGCCGGTGACAGTGCCCACCACGAGGGAGCAAGCCGTGGATGGTGTGAGCGCGGAGAGGAGCTCCGCCCCCTGCATCATGGCTGAGGATGAGCAGACTATGGAGGGAATTCAGGGCCAAAATGAGGAGGAGCGACCGTGGAATCCCCAGTCCAGCCCAGGAAGGGCTCCTGATTTCTCGTTAAGCCCAGGAAGGGCTCCTGATTTCTCGTTAAGCCCAGGAAGGGCTCCTGATTTCTCGTTAAGCCCAGGAAGGGCTCCTGATCTCCAGTTCTGCCCAGGAAGTGCTCTGGCCCAAGAGCTCTCTCCAGTGCCCGCTCCTCAAATGAGCGCCCTCCCACCCGCTCCGGCCTCCTCCAGCGTCACCATGGTCGAAGTCTCCCTCACCTCTGCCTCCGAGGCCCAGACTCTGCCTCGGTCCGTAGACCCAGTGGCTCCACCTCAGCTCCTAGCTCCCTCGCCTCCACCATCACCCATCGATCCATCAGCTCCACCAGGCTCCCTCGTCCCTCTGGCTCCTCCTTGGTCGGGCGTCGACCCGCCATCGCCTCTGGATTCCTCTCCTCTGGCTGCTGCCTCGTCGCTCTGTCCTACCGGCTCCGTTGGGCTCCTTCCTCCCATCAGCTCCACCTTGGCCTGGGTCCGACCTGGCTCCTGCTCCGGTTCCCTCCTGTCGTCTCCCTGGCTCCTCCCTCCATCGTCACCTCCCTGGACTCTGTTAGCCGTCCTCCTCCTGGAAGACCGTCCTCCGCCGGAACCTCCACCTGTCTGCTCTGCCTGCCAGCCCTTTGCCTTCCCCTGTCACCATCTCACATCCTCTGCTTTGTCCTCCTAGTCCCCCTCCACCCCTCCCTCTGTTTCTACGGTGCGAGGAGGCACCTTCCGGGAGGGGGGAGTAATGTAACACCCCTGTGGACTGTCTGTTGTGGTTTCTTCCCCTTTTGTTAGTTCAGCCCGTATAATTATTAGTTAATCACCTCATTGTGCTCACCTGTCTGCCCCTCATTATCTGCACTATATCTGTTCCTGTCTCTGGGATTTGAGTTTTGTCGGTTATTATGAATGTTACCCAGAGTGTGTCTCATCTACCCGAATCTGCCTTGTGTCTACATTAAATATCTTTATTGGAATATCTGCCTGCCTCCACACACCGTGACCGTGACACATACACTTTAACCACAATAAAATGTCAAATGTTACAATACTATCCATTATGTTTATATTTTTTCAATTCCATTCTGTGCCACTAGTACCATAAATTACCTTTAACACCGAATCAAAAAGCTCAATCTTTTTTTTTTTTTTTTTTTTTTTTCATATATTTGAAAAACCACCATGGCCTTGACTTTGAATAAGTTAAATACATGTCTCAAGTCATTTTTAAGCCTAAATATTTTGCTCATAGTGCCGTGTGTGTGGTTCACTAAAGGATTTGGAGAGTGTGTGAGTCACATCTTATTTCACCACCAGTCTTTGACCTCTGACTCTAACCTCTAGACACTGTAACCTAGGGCTGTGTGTATGAGAGAGATCTCATTAGAGCACTAAACCTATTGATTAACACATACACCAATGCTGCTGAAAATATACCATTGACAGAGAGCCTTTCAGTATTCATGTTCTCTAATAAGATCATCTGCAGCAGTTAACTATGCATATTGTAAAAAATGATCTCCCTAAATAAAGACTAATTTGAATAATGAAAGGTTGCTACAGATGCAACAGATAATATTTTAATAACACTTGAATGTATTGTGCTCAAATAATGACAATAAGTGTCATAAGGAGTGACAATTGAGTGCAACAATTCTTAAAAAAACTGTTTCTAAAGTATCCTTAGCATATAATACACTTTAACACTCCATAAACCTTTTAAATACTTTATAAATGTTTAATTATTGCGTGTGGAGGTCGTTTTGAACTCATACTGAATTAGTTTGCAAATAAACACTGAAAGGATATAAAATTCCAATTTAAACATTGAAATATAAAAAGTATTAGTAAAATAAACAAACGAACAAACAAACAAAAAAGCCTGTAAAAAATAATTTGCACTATTTCTAAGCACATTTTTTAATTAATTGTGAATTTGTTTATACAGAAGGTCAGAAGTTCTTGCATCCATTGAAGCGCAAGATGCTTGAGAACTGCTGTCATTAAAGCAAAAAAATAAATAAAAAATCTTTAAACTAAAGAAAAAAATTCAACTGAACTTTTTTCAAATTATCCTGATAAAATTTGTAGTGAAAAAAGTCTACTAAATTTTTAAACTAAAGTTTTTAAGCATTATTAACCATTTCAGTGAACTTCATGTATAACACCAGTCAGACTCTCTCACTTTCTCTCTCCTTATCTTTCTATTCCTCATGTTAGAGGTGTCCAGTGAAATCTCCCATGCTGCTTATGAGAGCTGAGTGCTACTCAAACACCCCTGATCCTCTCCAGCATGTGCAGTGTTCAGAGGTGTGAGATATGGGACCAAGGTCAGAGTGATACGGGACATTCTAGAATAATTGCTGGCAGAGCGCCAATGCAGCAGTGCCAGACTTATGTTGGGGGCAATTAACAGGAAACTATCGAAATCTATGCAAATCAGCTCAAAGGTTACACAACAATCAACTTTTGATGACATAACAAGCTTAAAGGGTTAGTTCACCCAAAAAAACATCACACGCTCTCGTCATGATACTGTCGTGAACGCGCGTCCAAAGTGACGCAGTAGAGACGAAAATGTGGAATAAAGTTGTTATTTTTGTTTTCTTTGCGCAAAAAAGTATTCTCGTAGCTTCGTAACTTTACAGTTGAACCACTGATGTCACACAGACTACTTTGTCGATCATCTTGGTACTTTTCTGGTCCTTGAACATGGTAGTTACCTTGCTGTCTATGGGAGGGTCAGAGAGCTCTCAGATTCATCAAAAATATCTTAAATTGTGTTCCGAACGGAGGTCTTACGGGTTTCGAACAACACGAGGGTGAGTAATTAATGACAGAATTTTCATTTTTGGGTGAACTAACCTTTTAATAGCTTTACCTGCCCCATAGACTCCAGAATATTTTCATAGTAGAATTTGAAAAATTTTTAAGGGATAAGCTATTTCAACATAAATGTCCCAGTATTCTATGAATATCATTGTTTTCAACAGCACAAGTTTATTTTCTCTTATCTCTCTGACACTCAGATTGCATTTGTCACTCTATCCATCCTGAATTCTCTCTCTCTTTTTGTCTTTCTATCCCTCTCCCAGATTACATGTCCATGTTCAAGTGAATTATGAAGGGAGATTAAGTCCCTGTGGAAATCATTTCAGTAATATTCTGTACAGTGAATAACCTTTTGACCTTTTCTCTCTAACATACTCTCTATTTCACCTTTTCACAAATCTGATGGGGATAATCTTATCGAGAAACTCTAGATGTATGCTTTTTTTATTACATCACACAGCTGATGTCATGCAGATTTCTAAAGTATGCGAAAGTCATTTTACTTTAGTAAGGACTGACAATGCAGACTAATATTCTATATACTTTATGCTTTTACAGGCACTTTGCAGATGAGAAACTAGATTTGTTTGTAAAGTGACAAGTATGTTTGTCTTTCATTTATAGTATTGACAACTTTATGTAACCAAGAAGCAGCATAATTATACATGGCAGCATAATTCCATAAGAATTCTGGTAAGGGTTTTGTTCTAAACCACCTTAGGAATTTTATGTTTGATACTTTTTAACAGTTTTGGTTCCTGAATGGTTCAAAAAAAGATTTTTACTAAACTTGATTGTCCTCAGCAGTCTATTGCCAAATGAGATAATTTGAGATTTCAGCAGAATAACAAATACAGTATAACAAATAAGAAATCAATTGAATATAATTCTTGTATAAATAAATAAAGTGTTTACTTTTCACTGACATTTCACAGCACAATAACACT